ACTATTATAGTTTCTTTTTTCTACTGCTTTAGGCTGACTTTGTGAAAATTGCCCATCCAGATTTTGCTTTCAGAGAGGCTGCTGAGGAAGCCTGCAGAAGCATTGGTACTATGGTAGAAAAGTACGTTTTATTCATTATGTTTCAGCTTATCTGTTTATTGAATGCTGCTATGAACAGTAGACAACAAGGTGTTTTGTTTTCCTATGTGTTCTAAAGTCTTTATGGAAACAAGGAGAATCTCTCTTCCAATTAAGAAATCTGGTAAAAATGTTTTTTAGTTTATAGTAATTACAGCCCTGATAGTCTAATTCTAAATACATGTTTCCTAACCACTAGGAAACATGAGGGACACGGGTGGCGCTGTGGGTAAAAGCCTCAGCGCCTAGGGCTTGCCGATTGAAAGGTCGGCGGTTCGAATCCCCGCGGCGGGGTGCGTTCCCGTCGTTCGGTGCCAGCGCCTGCCAACCTAGCAGTTCGAAAGCACCCCCGGGTGCAAGTAGATAAATAGGGACCGCTTACTAGCGGGAAGGTAAACGGCGTTTCTGTGTGCGGCTCTGGCTCGCCAGAGCAGCGATGTAACGCTGGCCATGTGACCCGTAAGTGTCTCCGGACAGCGCTGGCCCCCGGCCTCTTGAGTGAGATGGGCGCACAACCCTAGAGTCTGTCAAGACTGGCCCGTACGGGCAGGGGTACCTTTACCTTTACCTTTTAACCACTAGGGTTGTTTCCAGATTGACATCTAATAGTGTTACTAAGCATAATTGAGATATTGTCCTTTTACAATGTGTTAGAGGACGAGATGGTTGGACAGTGTTCTCGAAGCTACCAGCATGAGTTTGACCAAACTGTGGGAGCTAGTGGAAGACAGGAGTGCCTGGCGTGCTCTGGTCCATGGGGTCACGAAGAGTCGGACACGACTAAAAGACTAGACAACAGCATATTTTTCCATGCTCTCCATACCTGTGGAAGGACATCATCCTGTTGGTGGGGAAAGCAATGGTCCATATTACATGAGTGGTCATTTAAGAAAAATGAAATCCAAGCGTTCCATTAAAAAAATGCACCCAGTTATTTAATTAACTGCAAAATGCTTTTTGATTAAGCATGATTGCTTTTCATGAAATTAAAAAAAGAAAAGAAAACTGAGTAGTTGTTTTGAATGAGAAGTGCAGGCCTAACATCTGGATGGCTCAGTTGCTTAGAGTGTGGTGCTGATAATGCCAAGGTTGCAGGTTTGATCCCCATATGGGAGAGCTGCATTGCAGCGGGTTGGACTAGATGATCCTCAGGGTCCCTTCCAACTCTACAGTGCCACAATTCTAAGATGGGAAGTGTTTATTGGGAAGAGCCACTTACTATAATGTCTCTTGCTAAAATAGCCTTGCATGGTGCAGGGGAAAGGCTGCCTCCCCAAAAATGACTGCTGGAGAGCAAAACCTTTTCACCCAGCAAGGCCCCTGTTGCTCGGTTGGGGTTAGGGTTGTTTGCCTATTAGTTCTTTTTATGCTGCCCAGCAATTGTTTAATATTTCTACTTACTTCATGGTGTTGTGTTGTGAATAAGTACTTGTTGCGACTGATCTTGTTTGCTCTCATCTACACTTCACTGGTTATGGTGATGTTACATTCTGTGGTATTCTTGAAAACCCTTGGAAAAAAACCCCAGTTTTTTAAAAGACATGGACAAAAAAATTCCGTCTGCAGAAATAGTAAACCTAAAAAAACTGTTTTTGTTATGTACTGTGGAAAATAATTGTATTAGTAGCAACTGATCCTTTAATCTTCTGTGTTTCTAGCATTAAATACAGATGTAGATTTGTGCCAAAGTCTAAGAAAGTTGTTGGCTGATAAAGGTGTAATGGAGTCCCTTGATCCAGAAACAAGGTACACATTTTAATTTTGTTTCAGTAGATATTTCTTCATGATACTCAGAGTGTTGACTATTTAATGTTCTGCATACCCTTATTACAATTATAGGGTGCCAGTTGTGGTGTAGTGGTTAAGAGCAGTAGACTCGTAATCTGGGGAACCGGGTTCGCGTCTCCGCTCCTCCACATGCAGCTGCTGGGTGACCCTTGGGCCAGTCACACTTCTTTGAAGTCTCTCAGCCCCACTCACCTCACAGAGTGTTGGTTGTGGGGGAGGAAGGGAAAGGAGAATGTTAGCCGCTTTGAGACTTCTTAAAGGGAGTGAAAGGCGGGATATCAAATCCAAACTCTTCTTCTTCTTCAAAACACGGAGAATTATTTTCATAGTATACCATATTTGTGAGTCTATTTCAGTCTTTAACTATGGAAAACATTTTGTTAGTGGTCTATGTAACCTATGGTTACAAGTGCCATTCATTCTTTGAAATATATATCCAATATATCTAGACTTGCCCTTTTGTAGACTTACCATGCTTCCATCTACATTCCTCAATCCAGAATCTACTCGCTGTTCTGAAACTGAAGGGACTTTTGTAAAATTCTGTGTTTTCCTCTGGAAATTTTAAAACTCCATGCTTTGGTCAGGGTTGGTAACCCCAACACCCCAATTATCATGGTCATCTTAAATTCCTTTTGACCTTTTTTGTCTAAGGCCTCAGAACTGTATCAGACTTATGGTCAGTGTGCCACAAAAAAGTTTGCAAGCAAGACATGATAATATCTATTGTTAGAAGGAATTAAACAATGCAAATATTTGTCTTCCCAGTGAACATGAAGGTTGTCTGTATCTAGTTTATTTCATCAATGTAGCAACACCCTATGACACTTAGTTCCATGAGACTGCAATCCTAACCCTGCTTTACCTGGGAGTAAGCACCATTGAATTCAACAGGACTTACTTCTGAGAGCACATGGTTAGGATTGTTTTGTACATATGCCATATGGAAAGCTATTTTCATTAAAAAAAAAGATGTTCCATTGCTGTGAGCTTGATCCATGTTATTATTTGTTTTCATCAGCACCAGGCAATTAGTGAGTAAATTGCATAGTTCATGATTCTGCTGACTTGACTGTGAAGTCAGCTGGTATGTCATTGTTATTGATTTTCAATATTTCCTGTATGCCACACTCAGTTTGTGGAATATCCTTCCCTAAGGCATGACTGGGACTGATACTGTCCATTTTTCAGTGCCAGCTGAAAATCTTCCTCTTCTTTCCAGGTCATTTGGATATTTCAGGACAATTTTGCCTGTACAGAAATAGTGATGGAGGATTTTTTTAAAAAAAATGAATTGTGTATTGCTTTTGATTTTTTTTTAACGTATAAATAATAAATAATTGGTAACACTCTCTGGGGTCCTGTGGTGAAAAGTGGGATAGAAATTATATTAAATAATGAATAAATTATGTTGATAGTTCCCTACATTGACAAATTAGAACTTGGTCTGCAACATAATAATCTGCAAAATGTAATATATATATGTAAAAGGGATGAGTCTATAACAGTACATGTCCTGGAGTTAATGTGATTTTATTATTTCAGGCGAGTAGCAGAACTTTTCATGTTTTGATTTTGAGATCAGTGGTATTCATTTGGATGAAGAAAAGGTAAGTTATTTCCATTATAAGAAAGGCTATTGGCTGAGCCTTCTAGAAACTAAGTCCTTATCCCAAGCATAATATGCTGATTAACCACCATAATCAAGATTTACAGAATACAGTGATCCTTAACCTTAATGGCATGGTATTAATTTCTACAGCTAAGATACTATGGTCTTTAGTTTTTAAAACATCTTACTTTCATAAGGAATATGTATGCATGGGAATATTCCACAGATTGCTGAACCAATGCAATGCAGGAATCTCAACTAAAGCTTTTTAAGATGTGAACAGAACCTATATTTTAAAGAAATATTTATTACTCTGTTTATTTCTCATTTGCAGCGAAGGAGAGCAGTAAATCTCAATGTCAAAATACTGGATTTGTGTAACGAATTTCTCATAGGATCTCATCTTCCAAACAAGGTTGACAAGCACATTTTACCAGAACACATTCGGCATCATTTTGCAGTTGAAGGCAATTATGCCCAAATCAGTGGTCTCAATGCTGATAGTCCTGATGATCTGGTATGTATACATGAAGTACATTACAGCACCATATACAGTACGATCACATCTTACAAGCATTTAACTCATGTTAGTTCAACCCTATGTGGTTGAAGGCCATTTGGTTGAATCCACAAGTTAAATGCAAGCAAGGCCCTCTTGGCACATCGGTTCTAGGATGCTCTCATGAGATCTCTTGGAGTCATCCTTGTTCCTGTGAGGTCTTGTGCCAGCATCTCTAGCCTTCTGGAGCCGATATACTGAGTGGGCCTTGCCGAGCAAGCAAGGCAGGGAGCTGAAAAGTCCTTTTCACACTGGGAAAACCCAACAATCCAAGTTGGGGACCATCACTACAATTCCATAGTATGTGCTATGTGAGGAAGACTTTTTTTGTCTGTCTGGGATCTTCCAACTTTCAACTAGGTTCTTTAAGTACATGAGATGGAAGAAAACCTTCAACTATATCCATTTGTCTGCATGGAGGTCTTTTAACTGTATACCCCACACCTAAGCCATAGGTGTGATGACTAAATTTGCAAATGCTATCTTTTTTAATGTTCCATCTAATGATCGGGAAAAGGGATTCAGAAATTGACCAGTTAGGGAAGAAGTGAATATTCCTACTGTCTCTTCCCTTCATTTGCAACAGGGTGATACTGTATACAGTGGTACCTCGGGTTACATACACTTCAGGTTACAGACACTTCAGGTTACAGACACTTCAGGTTACAGACTCCGCTAACCCAGAAATAGTACCTCGGGTTAAGAAATTTGCTTCAGGATGAGAACAGAAATTGTGCTGTGGTGGCAGCGGGAGGCCCCATTAGCTAAAGTGGTGCTTCAGGTTAAGAACAGTTTCAGGTTAAGAACAGACCTCCGGAACGAATTAAGTACCTAACCCGAGGTACCACTGTAATACAAATGTCTTTTCATCAATTTCTGCATTTTGCTATTATGGTTGTCCATATATTGCTTTTCTTTTGAATTAACCTTAGGTACGTGAAGTTGCCTACAAGGTTTTCCTGTACCCAAATGCTCAGCAATTACATTGTTTAGAGGAACTTCTTACCAGCAGAAACCTTCTGGCCCAATTAGTAGGATATGATACATTTGCTCATCGGGCTCTTCAGGGGACAATGGCCAAAACTCCAGGTAATGCTAATTGTGAAATATGCCAGGATAAATACAGGCTGTGCAGATTGTTACAAGAGATTAGTAGTACATGGGAGGAGAGAAGAGTGGGAGGGGAGCATTTTCCTTCGTGTTCAATTCCCCCTCCTCCTGGCAACAGTTTCTCTCATATTGATTCGAATGGGAGGGAAATAACACTAGCTCTGTTTCAGGGAAGTGGGATGCCTTTGGATCCTGTGGATCAACAGCCTTTCCTGGTATGCCCCTGACAGCACCCTGCAAGGTCCATATTTGCCCTCTCCCAACACCTGAGGGGCACTATGTGGACCTTTTCACAGCCTCATGGGGGAGACATACGAGGTTGGATCTCCCTTTCCAAAGGTGGACCTTTGTTTGTCTCCATCCTCTGAAAGAGGACATCAGAGAACCCTATGGTCCTGGGACACTATCCCAAGGAACATGCAGTCAAACACTAATTTATGCAGTGTCAGAATGTTTTAAATATATTACATCCTCATACGAAATACACTGCATAGAATGATGTCTCAGTGAAATTGTTGTGTTAAAGAAATGTTGCTGCTTGTTATTTTAGTTATGTTGACCATCCATGAGTATTATTTGCTGCTAATAGAGAACTTCCTTATTCAATATATTCGCATTGTTTCAAAGTTCCTGTGAACTTTGCATGGGGAACCTGCGGCCCTTCAGATGTTGTGAGACTACAATTCTTGTCATCTCTCACCATCCCAGGCCATCCTTGCTGTGACTAATGGGAGTTGGAGTCAAACAATATCTGTTGGTCCGCAGGTTCCTCAGCCGTAATAAAGTTGAATACTCAAACTTCTGCATTACAATTTAATTGTTATCAGTCAGCTTTAAGATTAGGAAACCAGAAACCTTGCACTAGTCAGCTCTGTTGATTCAGCTATGACCTGCTGCAGTTCTTGTAGGGCTGGAAATGAACCTACACTAATGTCTCCAGAGTGTCAGAAATTTCAGGTTTAATTTTGCTTAATGGCTTCTTTAGTAAATAAAACAGATAACCACTACATTCAGCCTTTTTTAAAAACTATGACTTAATTCACTTCTGAATTATGAATCGTTTAGAAGATTACTTTAAGCTAGATGAAAGTTTACAGCTGCATATAAGTTATTTCTTAAATGTTCTTTCTGCCTACTGTACCAATATTTCTTCCATTCTGTTTTTTAGAGAAAGTAATGCAATTTCTTGAGAAGCTTTCAGATAAGTTATTCAGTCGGTGAGTTTATTTTTTAATAAGATTTAAAGGGAGAACAAATTTGCCTTGCTGCAAGCTAAAAATTTTGTAATATTACTAGTAGAATCAATAAAAAATACACTTGTATTTCATAATTAATTCACCCCATCTTAATTCTGCAAGATTATTGAAAGGATTATATCTAATCAACTACAGATTAAGGTCATACTGTAATTGTAAAAATATTCTGAATGGTGGATGTCTCACTGTCAGCCAAAAGGCCCTTTCATGGTAAACGTACCAATGTTCTATTTTCCAGTGATGTAAAGAGGGAAACCAGCCAAATATTTTCTGTATATTGGAAAGTATTATCCCTTACTGAAAAACCTATTCTAAAAAAGCAAAGAAGAATCACAACTCTTTATGGCACATTTTGTTCGTTTGCTTGTGTGAAAGATACTTTTATTTGCAAAATGGACAAATGATTGTCTAGTAATTGTATTATACTACAAAGTTTTTTGAAAAGCACTTTAACAAAATATTATGATGAAATTGTTTTTCAGTACTCTAAAGGATTTTGAAATGATGAAAGGCATGAAAATGAAACTAAATCCTATAAAATCAGTAAGTTATATTTTGCATTTACTTTTTCTCAACTTGAATGAGTTGAATGCTAGTTTGAGAAAATACTTTCTATAATTTCAGAGTTATGTTGACGTAATCTAAGCTTTCTCTTTCTCTTGGCTTTGTATTATAACGGTGTTGGGTTTCAAGGCTCTTTTCTCTAAGGGAAACTAACCACTTAAAAGAAGATATTGGTTTAAACACAGTGATTTATGTGGTAGCCAAAACTTAAGATGGAAAATGTAATGTCTTCTCTTGAGTATGTCAAACATTTTGTTCAATTAGTTTTTGCAGGCTTGAAAAGGCAGAGGCCAGATTTGAAAAACTGCATGTGTCTAGCCTGTGTGTTGGCAGGCTCCAGTATTTTTGTTCAGAAACCATGGTCTTTCCAATAACTGGGTTGCTGCATGATTATTCTAATAGTTCTGCCTCACAATGTATAATTTGGGACCTCAAATGCCCCTCAATGAAATTTGGTTGGATAAATACAAGTGGACATCTTGAAGCCTTTTAAGTCTTAGATCACATTATTTGATTATATTTAAATCTTCTAGCTGCCTGTCCTGAATGCTCAAGGCAAGTTCACTTAGCGCCACTTTTCACTTGCTGCTTTGTACTTTGATGCGGTCATATCATCTGTAAATGATGTAGATGTGTTAAATCTGTGCTTTCCTTTGTAAAATAAACAGAAGTGGTAGGTAAATTCTTTCCTGATCGTCATTTCTTTGTATTTCTCCCCGCTCCAGAAAACTGGAGATACTTAATTGAACATGCCCCTTTTAGAGCAGATGCATGTGGGAGGAGATGTTTGGCTTACGTTACTGTACTAAAGAGATGATGGTTAAAAAAAAGCATCTTGAATTTTGCCTTTGATGTCACTGATAGCCCTTGCCATCACTGAAACACAGGTATCATGTGCTTCCAGTTATTGGTTTGGTGTTTAGTCACATATTTTTCATTTGTTACAGGGGTGGCTATAAGACGTAGGGCCTTTTCAGTAGTAGCATCCAGTTAAGGAACTCTGTACCTAGAGAGGCTCACCTGCTAACATCCTTCTTCATCTTTTGATAGCAGGTGGAAACCATAATTTTTCAAAGGGCGTTTGGCTTGCTAAAATATTAGGATGTTAGCAGCGTGCTTAGCTGGATTATTTGCTTAATTCTTGCTTTGGACTTTATTTTTGTTTGTTTTCTTGTTGTGTTATTGTTGATACACTTTTATGTAAAACCTTAACACTGGCAATGAAGTGATATATACATTCAAAAAACAACATGGCTAGAAATTGTCAATTGTATTTCCTTGCACTGTGCATAAGCCGAATAGTCAGGTTGTGTACAGGGCAGGTAAGATAACACCTAAAGCTCTGTGAAAACAGTCATTACAGAAATGCTGCTGTGGAAAGAAAGCTGTTGTATCTGACTTGTTTCGTTTGATTTGTGTTATGTGTTTGAAAACGTGAATGCTTTCATTTTCAGAAATTGATGCCTTGGGATCATCCATACCACAGTGGTGTCCTGCGTGCTGAGAGGTCAGTGCTATGGCCTTCTGCTGCAACTGGTGTATCTAGCACTTTATTTGCATTCTAATATTTAGTTTTTAGTTGTTAAAAGTTCTGCTATAGTTATCATATATACTCCTGTAGCAAATCACTGTTTCTTTATCTTTTTGTATTGTTTTGAAATGCGTGTTTTTGTTTGCCAGCCACAACTTTTCAATGTATATATTTTCTGTATAAGAGCTGAGATAACTACCAGGTTGTAGTTTTCTTTTCTGTGCAGGAGGATATGGCTAGGAATCTATTTGTATTGGTCACCTTTCTCCAAAACCATGTGTGTGTTCTGGGGGGAAAGCATTTAAACCCCTCTGCTATCTGTTGGATTTTTTAACTGATATAACTGAATCCTCCCAAAGTAAAATGTGCCAGTGTCTTCCCAGATAATATTCATTATAAATACTGAACATACATTTTTTAAAAATCACACTGAAGCCAGCAAAACACATATGTACCATGTACATGTCAATAATTATTCCTAATTAATTCATTTCCTCAGTTGATCTTTAAAAAGAGGCATTTTGATACCTTAAGCTATTGTAATAAAATAATATTGTGGTTAGTTTATCATCTTACAGCATAACAGACACATTACAGTCAGTGAACGTACAGTGGTACCTTGGGTTACATACGCTTCAGGTTACATACGCTTCAGGTTACAGACTCCGCTAACCCAGAAATAATACTTCAGGTTAAGAACTTGCCCTGGGCAAGTCTACCAGCCCACCTCCCACCATTTTCAGCTCCCCGAAAACTAAGGTGGAAGGCATCTTGATTCCTTGGAGTCAGTTTTCAGGGGTGCAGGGGGCACAGATGAATTGGGGGGGGGGACAGGTGTGTCCCGCAGCCTGAGGCCCTTCCACATGTACAGCAGGATTTTGCGTCCAGGCCTATTAATAGTAACATTTCTGTTTGTAAACACCAGGGGGAGCTCCTGCATCAGTTTGCCACCTTTTTTGCATAGCTTTGTCAAGTTTTCTTTTGGAAAGATGAGCTGCCTCTTAGCTTTGCCGTCAGAGAACAGCAATAGTTTTCATTTTACAATTAGATATATGTCATTTAAAATGATGTTTTGTCTGTGATGTGTCATTTGTGTTGACTATATGTTTTTGTAGTCATATCATTTATACAGTCATGACGAATACGTCAGTGCATGATTGGAACACTGGATATCAAATTCTGAAATATGTCAAGGGCCGTCATTTCTACAAAAAACAAAACAAAAACAAAAACCACCACTGAAATCATGATTAAAAAAAAACACATCACATCCAGCCTTGCACACTAAAACAATACCAATACATTACAAAATGGAAACGTATTGCTACATATATTTGTAATTTGGCTCAGTGCTTTTAACCCAAAATTGCCAGCCAGCTTTTTCCTTTGTTGTCTTCCAACTTTCATTGCTCTGGATCATACTGGCAGTCAACCATATGGAATTTGGTTCGTTTCTTTTTATTAGACAGGACTGCAACTAGGAAGCTGGCGAGAACAAATATAATCCAGTGAATCTGAGTTGTCAGTAGGAAGACCAATATAGCCTCTTCTCTCCAATCCCTTTTGTTTCCCAATCACTTGAAGGGCTTACAAAACACATTTTATTTATGTATACATTTTTTAATGTAATGCGTTCAAGATATGTAAGCATGGAGAACAGTAGTTCAATTATTCTGCATATCATATATAAAAAGGGACTGGTAATTATACACTCAATTCAGTGTATAATGCCTATCACTTACCTAGTATCTTCCCAGTATCATATTTCCTTTTCCAAATTAATTCAAGGTTAGTACATATTAAAATCCTAATCAAGTATGCTACAGTGGTATTCTTGAGGGGGAGTATGTTTTGTTTAGCTCAAGTGTGAGGATTGATTGATTGATTTTTGTCCCAAGGACTACATTTCATCTTGGTCAAACCTCATGCCAGTCGTGGGCAGAACTACCACCACATACACACATATCCACATGCACACATCCACACACACACACAATCTGAAAGTTTTAAATCCATGTTTGTCTCTTTCTTCAAATAACTGTTCAGGACTGCAATCTGAAGTACGCATCACCTAGGAGAGCCAGCATGTGAGGCAGATATAGCGTTGGTCTTGGATTGGGAAAACTTGATTCAAAACACCCCTTGGCCATAGAACTCCTTGGGTGGTCTTAAGCCCATCGCTGTTTCTTACTCTGTGTTATGCCACAGGGTTGTTGGGAACATAAAATGGGTAATCCCATGTACACTGCCCTGAGCAACTTGGAGAAAGCATAGACATGCAGAATATGAGAAATAAATGATTACACCTATTTAGGACTAAGCTGTAAGTCTGTAAGTATTGTTGTCTGGCATGCAGTTAATGCTAGAAATGATTTAAATGAGTCATTTCTTTGGCTAATGTGTTCCAGTGTTTTGGTTGTTAAAACAAAATCTCAAAATGCTCAACAATCAAACAAACAAAAAACCAAGACTTTGTTTTATATGGGGTAATTATATTATATTTCCCCCTTTTATTGGCATATGTTATGGTTATGGAATGCTGCAAGAAATTATTTCCCCGTGTGATAGCTACAGTTCTGAATGTTCGGTGATTAATGATATTGAGTAAATATAATCCTTCCTTTAATTACTAGGTCTATCAAAAAGATTTTGAATAAAATTGTTGACAGCCATAATACACAAGAGTCTGAACGTCTTTCCAAATGTACAACTTAAATGAATGCCGTTTTATACTCCTTCATTTTATTTGGACTGAATGAAGCCATCTAGGCTTAGAAATAATTGTTTACAATGGCACACTACATCTATTGCTCTTTAGCAGTACTTTCTTTTCAGTTTGAATCGTGCTGTTCATGAAGAATAATGAACACCTCATTGTACCATTTAACTTCATGTTTAAAGCAGCTGGCTTGGTGTCTTGCCTTTCAAAATACTAGTAAATCAAATGCTGTATGATTAAGGCCATTGGGATTTCTTCCCATAACTCATCCTTTTAATCTAAAACAGGATTTCACATCAGATAAAGAACCCAGTACCCGCTATCATTTTATCAACTTTGTTAGTACATTTGCTGTGCTTTCTCAATCCTACATTTACCTTCTTGTGAAATGTGTTATGTGGGGGGGACACCTCTTATTACAATGGTAATCCTGATGTAACATATCAAGCTTTACCTCTAGAAACCAAGGAGTTGGAAGGAACCTGGTGTATGAAATATGTTTATATTTATCAGCAGTAAAACTGTCAGCAAACTTCGTATACTTTAGCTGTATCCTGTGTACAATTCAGGTTGCATCACAATCAGTTGTTGCTTGATTAAAAAAAAACAAAAACGCTTGAGATAATTCATTGAATGGTGGGGCAGGGTTGGGCAGTCTCCTTACTTTCATTTGTTTCAGTTACAGATAGGTAGCCGTATTGGTCTGTCATAGTCAAAACAAAAAAAAATTCCTTCAGTAGCACCTTAAAGACCAACTAAGTTAGTTCTTGTATGAGCTTTCGTGTGCATGCACACTTATCTGAAGAAGTGTGCATGCACACGAAAGCTCATACCAAGAACTAACTTAGTTGGTCTTTAAGGTGCTACTGGAAAGAATTTTTTTTGTTTCATTGTTTGTTTGCTGCACTTCATAGCACTTAATTACTGTGCCTTTTTTGAGTACTAGCAGCATAGAACTTTGGGGGGCTACTGTTACATGTATTCATTGGCTCAATTTGTGGTTATGGTGAGCCATAGTTAATGGTTTACTGTGAACTCACCTGTCTGGACTGTTTTGCTCCTCTCTGCTAGCATAAGAGTGCAAGAAGAGCCCTGTTGGATCTGACCAAAGGCCCATCTAGTAGAGCGTTCTGTTCTCATGATGGGCCAGCCAGATGCCTCTGGGAAGCCCACAAGTAAAATCTGAGTGCAACAGCACTCTCTCCACTTGCGAAGCTTCGCAAGTGGTGCACAGAAGCATACTACCTTCAAAAGTGGAACATAGCTACAATGCATTTCTGTATTGCTCAAAAATCCTTGAACATTTGGTTGCATTTTTCTGAAAGTTTCCCAGCTCTACAATAACCTTTTTATTTTAGGCAACCAGAACTGTACACAGTATTCCATGTGTGGTCACTTTATAGATGTGTATAACCATACTATGATATTGGCTGGCTTTTTAAAAAGTCAATTTCCTAATGTAAAATACTGTAAAGGTAAAGGGACCCCTGACCATTAGGTCCAGTTGCAGGCAGCGCTGGGGTTGCGACACTCATCTCACTTTACTGGCCGAGGGAGCTGGCGTACAGCTTCCGGGTCATGTGGCCAGCATGACTAAGCCGCTTCTGGTGAACCAGAGTAGCGCAAGGAAATGCCGTTTACCTTCCCACTGGAGTGGTACATATTTATCTACTTGCACTTCATGCTTTCAAACTGCTAGGTTGGCAGGAGCAGGGACCGAGCAACAGGAGCTCACCCTGTTGCGGGGATTCGAACTGCCGACCTTCTGATCAGCAAGCCCTAGGCCCTGTGGTTTAACCCACAGCGCCACCCACGTCCCTGTAAAATACTGTAGCTAGGATCAAATAGTGTAGCTGAACACCAGAACACAGGAAACGTTTGCCTTTATCTAGCAAAAATAAAATTGTGGTGCTACATGTGCAATCCACCTGATCTATTTATTGAAAATATTTGTAGGCCACCTTCTAGGGTGAAGAACAAACATTGGCTACAGCTTGCGGTTAGTAAGGAGAGAGCTTAGCCATGTCTCCTGGTTTGGATGACCTGCTAAGCCAAACTTTGGCATAGCTTAGGGCCACTCAGCAGCAAAAACGATTGGGACGAGCAAAGCAGCTGCAAGCTCATTTCTGGAATCTACGTGTTTGTGTTGACATGCTAAGTCAAGGTTTGCCTTAGCATGCCACGTGAATGAGACCATGTTTCTGCCTAAGTGTTGAACCAAGTAGATGCCCTATTTCTAGCACGTGTGATGTTTTAATTCATTTAATTGTGGATTGTGTGATATAAACTGTTTAAATTGGGACAATGTTGTAGCTATTCATAATTCATTTCCTTCCATTTTGTATGTTTTAGGTATAATATTGAACCCAGCCTGTATTGCCCCTTTTTCTCTCTTGGAGCATGTATGGAAGGCCTGAACATCTTGTTCAATAAACTCTTAGGCATCTCTCTTTATGCTGAACAGACTGTGAAGGGAGAGGTGTGGTGTGAGGATGTTCGCAAACTGGTAAGAATTCAAAGTCCTGAATTTCAGACCCCTTGTGTACAAAAACAATAAAGATAATAAGTAAATCCAGTTCACTGTTGAGCAAAGCACAAGATGCTTAGAAAGGAAGTTTTCTGAATTAACACCGGAAAAACACCTCGTAGGACAATTCATAGCTATTTGTTTTTAATTCCTGCATTGTCTTTGTTGACAATCATTTGTCTAGCACCTTTAAATGCAAAAAGGCTTTATTTTGTTTGTACCCAAGTTGCCGCTTAAGAATATCTCTCTTGTTTCGATTTTAAAGAAAGGAGAGATATGTCAGGCATTTAGGCCAATGGGAGGGAACAGACAGCAAAATGAAGAGGTGGGTTCTGGTGGCACTATCTATAACTTAACCTAGATCAAGGAAGGGCATCATTTCTGGGAATTTTGGGTCAGATAGTGGTAAACAATTGGACATTTGGTAATATCTGATTTCCTGGGCCAGGAGGATTCTGGGCTGTTGGGTGCGAGTTTTCAAGCTTGAACTGCCTGCAGTTCCCTTCTCCTTGGTGCCCAGTGATGACTGAGATAAATATTTGCCCAAGGCCACTGAGGAATGGCTCAGTTCTGGAGCGACATCTCCCTCCTTGCATTTTACAAATATGTTTAGGGAAGCAGCTTGAAAATGGCTACAGGCAAAAATTTCGTAAAGTTGAAAGAGCCAAGACCTAAGAATGAGCTGCACAAACTTCAAAAGAAAATGTGTTTGATGGCACATTGAGACTAACTTTTAATAAGCTTTTTATTGCAAAATGGCATGAGCTTTCATGGGCAACAACCAACCTCAGATTCTGAGTTGGAACAAACTTTAAAGGAGATCATGGGAAAACAAATTTGCAAAACAAATTAAATATTTACAGCTTAAATTTATATCTTAATGCTTGAACTTGTATCTTGCTTTTCTTTCTCTACGGTATTTCCAAAATCTAAAACATGCATGTAGGAAAATGGGACAGTAAAATCAGAAAATATTTTAAAGCAGTTTTATCAGGTCCAGGGCATGCTGGCTTTCTCACATCTTTTTATTTCCTTTTCTTAATGCTTGCTAGTGGGTCATTTTTCTCACTTATACTTCAAAGTCCAAGTAACAGCAGGAGCTGTCATTCAACAAACATCTGTAAAGTGGATAAACTATTCCTGTCTCATCTTTCATAACTGCTTCTTATTATATCTCTGCTCATATTGCTTAATTGTGATATATGTAGTGTGAAACTCAAATATTGCTTAAAAGGTATTGGTTATTTTTGTATTTCTTCATGAGTCATCCATTTGGATAAGCGGTAGCACTTGTATATTAAAACCTTTAGTAATCTGTGAATGGGACTTGAATCACCTAGTAGTAGTCTGAATTCTACAACAAAGAGAAAAAAATTGTAAAATCATATAAAATGGTCAGATTTGGAATGTTCCCCCCAAAAGGCCTACAGTAGCACATCATCGGTTATTGGGTCTTTCACTTAGTACTTTCCTGTTTTATTTTAGGCAGTTGTCCATGAACAAGAAGGATTATTGGGATACATCTATTGTGATTTTTTTCAAAGACCAGACAAGCCTTATCAGGTAACAATTCCCTAACATTACAAACGCTATGAGCCTTTTTTCTTCTTCTCAAAATATGATCCTGCAGCCCCCTGTGCCCCTCCAAACACATCTCTGGTCAGGAAATCTTTGTAAGGAACCAGGGGGCTGCTAGTGGAGGGGGGATCATGGAAAATCTTCAAAGTGTTGAGTTGGTATTTTAGCTTCAAAAGCAGAATTATGCCCTGAAAGCATGCACACAATTTGATCCCGGTATCTCCATGTTCGACTGAATTGCCACATTTAAAATAAACCGATAAACAAACTTATAAGCAGAATGCCAAACAATCAAGTTAAACCAAAGGGCTTCGCTTTGCTTAGCCACTCCATCTGTTCCGGTACGGTGCAACAGCTTGATTTCAGACAATTCTATAATTGTAAGCAGATTCTGTGACTGCTTGAAACTGTGCTGATGTCTTAAATTATATTAGTATGGTGAAGTATTGACAAAAAAGAGTGTTTTTTTCTGATCTAAATATATATTTATAGGATTGCCACTTTACGATACGTGGAGGCAGGCTAAAAGAAAATGGAGAATACCAGCTTCCTGTTGTTGTCCTTATGCTAAGTTTGCCCCATTCCACTAGTAGTTTACCAACATTGCTTACTCCTGGGATGATGGAGAATCTCTTCCATGAAATGGGACATGCCATGCATTCTATGCTGGGAAGGACTCGATACCAACATGTCACTGGTAAGCTTACTGGTTAAAGTTCAAACAAGTACTTCATTTTTTACATGCAACCCTTTCATAGTTTGCATGTGGTGTATCTGGTTGTACTGCAAGTAGAGGTTTTAGTCTTATCTTTAAGGCAACTGAGAGCAATTTTCTTACTGGCCTTTAAAAACTACTCCAAATTATCTTCTGTATATTACATATAAGCCTTTTCCCAACTGCCCATCATACTTTGTGTGAATAAGGAGCAGAAATGAGGATGGTACTATGCAGGAACAGACTTAATTCTTGATAGGTGGAGTAGTGAGCAGAGGCAGGGAGCAGATTTTGCCTCCATTCCAGTTGCATCCATGTCAAGGGTGATTTTGCTAGCATTAAAATAGTTCTGAATTTAATTTAATAGATCTTTAAATCTTTCAGATCAGTAGTAAGTGGTGAGCTAGGAATTTTGGTATGTTGCAGAAACTCCATCTCCCAACTCTGTTGTGCTTAACCTTCCTTCAGACCCTTTGTGATTCCTCAATTTCACTGTTACTCCTCTTCCTCCTCCTGTCCTCCTCTAAATAATGTAGTTAAACTAGTTCTCATCCAGTGCAAGGGGTGGGGGAACATAAGAAGAGCCTGCTGGATCCTGTCAATGGCCCATCTAGTCCAGCATTCTGTTCTCACAGTGGCCAACCAGGTGTTTGTCGGAGCCTGCAAGCAGCATAAGTGCAGAATAGAACTCTGCCCACCTGCGATTCCCAGTAGCTGGTATTCAGAGGCATACTACCTCTGACAGTGGAAGTAGAACATAGCCATCATGGCTAGTCGCCACTAAAAGCCTTATCATCCATTAATTTGTCCAGTCATCTTTTAAAGCCATCCATAGCTTAACTTCAAGCTTCATGAAGAAGCGCTGGGAGTGAGAAATGTACATTGCATCCCCCCAACCTGGCACTATTCAGTAGACGTTCATGACACTCATGTTCCGCACAGCCTCCCAGACCACAATGGATCTGCTAGCTAAGGCTAAGGAAACAAAACTTCATCGCAACATGTTGTGGTTTGAGCGCTGCAAAAATGCAAGATCCCCCATCTAGTAGCACTGGAGGAAAGAAGTCCAGGTTGCGTACAAAGTGGTGGGGGACCTCCAGCCCGCAGGCCTAATTAGGCTTGCCAGGTTTTGGAGGCTGGCTTGCCAAGTGGCTTTGGGCAAATCACACCCACCTTTCTTGTAGGCGCCAGTTGCAGGAAAAACCTTCTTTTGAACCTCAGCTTGAATTCATGCCAAGGATGCAAAGGTTCTTCCTTTCAGCTGTGGTCTGAACATGCTGCAACTTCAAAGGAAGGTCCTTTTCATCCTCAGATTGAATTTTCCATTGCAGCTTGAGTTTTGAATCACCTTATGTTATATGATGTCACCTTACGTTACATGACTGGATCAACCAGCTGGATCTAGTTCCCTACCCCCTGCCATACAAGGAATAGTAATATACAAATATTTGTAGCTCCAGAAAGTGACAATCTATAAAAGCTTGAAGCCCACTGCTCACAAGGGAGAAGAGAGTAGGTATGAGGACTTAATTTTTTAATTCTAAATTGTTATTTCACCATCAAGTGTCTTGAGGTAACCACCAAAGCTGCTCTTCAGTGACTGATACCTTGAACAATAAAGGAAAGCAAATATGGACAATAATTGTGCTAGCTCATCAGACAGATGGGATGATAATATTTGTAAATGGGATTAAATTTTTAAGCACAGTTTGATATTTTTATTGTAATTAGGTATAAAGTAACGACAATTAAGGATTTAGTGTTTAAAGTGGGGCCAGATTGGCTGTAGCCTGGTTTAAGTTTATAAAGGGTGTGAGCCATAGCTTTATAGGGTGCCTCACCCAGCTGTTCAAATATTGTATTTACTTTGTGATTTGCAGTAAAGCATGTAGGATTATAATTTAGCTTTTCTGCCAGTACGTACAATAACATTACAGAAATGAAATATTTACTTAATGAATGATTTACCACAGTTCATCAAAAGTGCAGATGGAAAGCTAAGAGGAACTTTGGAGAAGACAGAAGAATTTATGTAAACTTTATGGCTACCTGCATGTTAATGCTTCTGCTTCTTTTCTATAGGGACAAGATGTTCTACAGACTTTGCTGAAGTTCCCTCTATCTTGATGGAGTATTTTGCAAATGATTATCGAGTGGTGAACCAATTTGCAAGGCACTATAAAACGGGTCAGGTAGGATAACTAAAAACCAGGCTGATTGTAAATAACATAAGAGTTTTGGGTTGTTGGGGTTTTTTGGGGGGGCGGGCGGGAAACAGAATAGATTCAGATGTTTGAAACTAGGTGGAGAAATATTTTGTCATGAGACTCATATTTCATGCCCCCCTTTTTGTATCTTCCCATAAGTAACTTGAGTGATAGAAACAAAATGGTTGAGACCGCCATTTTCCTTTTCCTTTTTAAAAACTTAATTTTTGAGCCTTTGGAAATAATAAGTCCTAAGTGCTATGGGGCGTCCTCAGGCTTTTGGGCAGCCTTCGCCAACCTGGTGCTCTTCAGGCATTTTGAACATCAATTTCCATTGGTACTGGATAGGGCTAATGGGAGCTGTGGTCTGGAACATCTGGAGGGCGGCAGGCTGGAGAAAGCCTACTCCAGTGCCTCTTCCTCCTCAAGTGGTCCATTGCCTCCCTGACCTGGAAGGATTATAAAGGTTTCCAGAAATCTGCCTGAACATGTTTCAACTATGGCTGCTGTTTCCAAGGCCTAATTCCCGGCTTTGCCTCCCCTCCCCTTTGTGAGGCCCAGTGCAGAAAGGGATGCTGAGGAAAAGGGAGTGTCAGGGCTGGAGTCAGACGTAGGTCAGCACAAAAGACGCAGGGCTCCATTGTCAGTGAAGTTAACTCTTTATTCAAGGAAATGGCATACAACCCCAGTGACACTTCTTAGTAGGTCTTGCTCTATGGAGCAGTCTTAGTCTTCCACACTTTCTAAGACTCCTCCTCTCTCAGATGTTTCCCAAGCAGTCTCAAACTGCGCCTGCACGCCTCTGTTCTGCTCTCATTATTCTGCATGTTCTTGGGGACCAGCAGGGAGGGGAGCCTGGTGCGGCAGGAGAGGGAGACTTTCTGATTCTTCAGCAGCCTGTTGACTCCCCTTCTCTGCTTTGGCCTCGGAGTCTGAACTGCTCCCTGTCACAGCCTCTTCCTGCTCACTAAACCCTGTTGCCCCTTCAGCATCCAGCCCTTGCTCCCTATCTTCTCCCTCTGACTTTTTCTCAGCGTCCCACCACCAATCTCCTAGTTCTAAGCCTTACTCCTCTGGGGTTTCTCTTGAGGGGTCCCCCAGCTAGTGCCTCTCACCACATCTTTTCATCTAGCCAGTCCCTGACTGAGTTAGATAAAATTGCTGTAAATTGTTGTGGTGATTCAGAGGTTTAATTTGATATCAAGCTGGGTTTGAGTTTGTTGTTGTCTCTGGTAACTCCTCTGTTACATCATGGATGTTGGCTCATATTATGACTGTATGATCCATATTGTTTTATTGGTACTGTTGCTGCAGGTTTGTCATGGCCTTTGGCTAGAACAATAAAATTATATTGAAGTCCTAAGTGTGCTACATGATTCTTCAAAGAACTAAGAGCTTACAAATCTGTCAAACAGCAGTGGGAATTCAGGATAGTCAGTGTTTAACAAGGAGCTGCCATCACTTAGAAGAACCAGTAACACGCAATTCCTTGGTGATAGAAAGTTGCAGTTGGGATGGTTGCTCCCAGTGCATTTCAATGAATTTATTTGTTTAATATTATTTTGCAGAGTTGAAAATATCACGGGCACCTCAACATTTAATACTGACTTTTAAAAGATGCTTTTGTTTCTTTTTAGTCAGCCCTGTTGTCTAGCCTTGTGGAACTGATTTATAGAATGATGTGGGCTTAAGGGAGAAATACATTTAAGAAAGATACTTACAATGCAATCCTAAGAACGCTTTCTTGGAAGTAAGTCCCACTAATCCAGTGGGATTTACTTTCTGGTAAGTGTGCCTCAGATTGCAGCCTTAAGGGTATAATATACTACTTCTATTTTCCAGATACTTTACAAACCTTGTCTCCTTTTAGCTCACAAATTTGGAGCCAGGCACTGTGTGCCCCATTCCTTAAATATTCCTGGCCTGTTTTGTGATGGAAGCCGTTTGGCATAGAATCATTGTGTACCAGGAAGTAATTGAGTCAGCTTTAATTCATCCTTGCAGACAGGATAAAATGTAATTTGGGATTAGGACTTGAGCCTAAACGACTGTTTTGCTGTCATGTTTCTGAATGTGCATTTCTTTCACCTTTCTGAATAGCTTAAAAATTATTTTTGACTCAGCTGTCTATTTTTCTTTTTTAAAGGGTGATTGGTTTTAAAGGGTTTGATAACAAATGCTTTATTTCCTGTAATTTTGAATGCAAATATGAGCAATCAGAGTTTGAGAGCAGACCTGTTGTTTGCTATGTTAATAACTGGTTGTGATCTTTTTTGTCTGGAGGAACCTTGTTTTTGTGTGGTTAGAAGGGGGACCAGATTCTAGTCACTTTCCTCGCCATATTCGATTCTCTCAGAGAACTGTTGCTTTGACTTGGCACTCTCAATTATATCAGCTTTAGTAAAACGTAAGCAAAAAGCTTTCACCAAGCATTTTTTTGTTATAGAACAAAAAACTGAGGCTAGGTTTTAACCAGAAAAGTCTGGTGCCTTTTGAACATTCACTGATTTAGTGGAATCTAGACAGCATCTTAAAAAGCAGAGACATCACCTTGCCAACAAAGGTCTGTATAGTTAAAGCTATGGTTTTCCCAGTAGTGATGTATGGAAGTGAGAGCTGGACCATAAAGAAGGCTGATCGCCGAAGAATTGATGCTTTTGAATTATGGTGCTGGAGGAGACTCTTGAGAGTCCCATGGACTGCAAGAAGATCAAACCTCTCCATTCTTAAGGAAATCAGCCCTCAGTGCTCACTGGAAGGACAGATCATGAAGCTGAGGCTCCAATACTTTGGCCACCTCATGAGAAGAGAGGACTCCCTGGAAAAGACCCTGATGTTGGGAAAGATGAAGAGCACAAGGAGAAGGGGAGGACAGAGAACGAGATGGTTGGACAGTGTTCTCGAAGCTAACAGCATGAGTTTGACCAAACTACAGGAGGCAGTGGAAGACAGGAGTGCCTGCCATGCTCTGGTCCATGGGGTCACGAAGAGTCAGACACGACTAAACAACAACAACAAATATCATTAAAATATGTTTTCTCAGTTACTTTCTTTGTGAGAAAGGAAGAGAAAATGAAGAGGGAATGGGATGGATAGGCAGGTAGGTGTGTGTGTGTGTGTGTGTGTGTGTGTGTGTGTGTGTGTGTAAGAGAGAGAGAGAGAGAGAGAGAGATTGACGGATTGATTATGTTAGGTGCTGATGACCTAAAAATCATCATGACCTCACATCTCCATCCAGCTCTGTTTGTTTGTTTGTTTGTTTGTTTGTTTGTTTGTTTGTCTGTCTCTCTCACACTCTCTCTCTCTCTCTCTCTCACACACACAATTCCTAACTGAGTCTCAGGAAAAGACATAGAAATAGCCACTCATCTTCCTCTCTTCTCTTTATCCCCTCTGCACTCTTTGCAGTCTCTATCAAATAGCCTTCTCCTGCCCACCAGCGACTGGCAGTGTTTTGCAGTCCCATGACTTCTGTGGCCATGTCCCCCTCTTCATTGGCCATTCCCATTCCTCCCCTCCCCTTTTATTTTCCAGCCAATTCTCAAGAGACTGTGGCTATAAAGTAAGGTTAGTCTCCACTGGGATGTTTGGGAAGAGATAGCACCTTTAGGTTTTTTGTTTTTTTGAAAAAGAACTTTTGTACTTCTGCTTATCTCAAAGTTCCCCTGAGCATGCTGATAACTCCCTTTCTTCTTCAGTAGCCCTGTTTTGGCTACAGTCATGTGGGATTTGCCATCTCAGCTGTCGGTTAAAAATAGTGATATGTTGTCACAGGTTGACATTTTTAAAGAATTATAAAAGCTTGCTGAGGCAGGAGTACCCTTTGCAGAAACCATGTGGATTAATTCTCAGCAAGGGTTTAATAATGCTAGCTTTAATAATCCATTTACCTGAGGCAGAAGAATGGCTACCCTGGGCTAGCCTATGTGGTGCACTCCAGATGTTGCTGGACTGCAGCTCCCATTGGCCTCAGCCAGCATGGTCAGGGATAATGGGAGTTGTAGTTCAGCAACACCAGGAGTGCACCACAGTGACTACCTCTGGGCTAGCAGGCCATAGGTTCCAGATACTATCTTTTTTTAAAAAAACACACCATAGTGTCCAATTGGTTGCCCTCCAATCATTTGGCAAGATGGCTAATTTTAATAAGTTGCATTTTTGAAAAAACAAACAGAAGTTCAGCAAGTTCACATTTCAATGATTTAAGGACAGTTAGGTGAAAGTTATCTGGCCCCAGGGACATATTAATTTGTAATTTGCCAGCGATGAATTTGACTCTTACTTTTGTATATTCTGGTCATGCCAAAAGCAGAGGTTTACACACACACACACACACACACACACACACACCCCTCTCTCCATCCATGCAAGGAAAAGTTTGAAGACTCATTCCAGGCAGGCAGGAACAGTCTACAAGGGTGTAGAGCAAGCCTAGTGAGGGCTGAGGCCTAAGAAAGAGGTATGTCTCAGGTAGAGTCTTGAAGGCTGGGTGAAGAAGCCTAGAGCAGTGTTTCCCAACCTTGGGCCTCCAGCTGTTTTTGGACTACAACTCCCATCATCCCTAGCTAACAAGACCAGTGGTCAGGGATGATGGGAATTGTAGTTCAAAAACAGCTGGAGGCCCAAGGTTGGGAAACACTGGCCTAGAGAGCCACATCTGGGCCTGGGATTCCCCACCCCTGCTGCAGAGGGAAAATATGTGTAGTGCTGCCTTGTTCTGTTACCTGCAGTGGTGCTTTAACTGTGTCAGGAGGGATGCTTTCACCTCTCTACTATCCCAGAGAGGTGCATGGTTAGTAGTGTTTCTCATTCCCTGACAACAAAGGGCTTCCTGCTCTATGCTTCACTGAACTGCAAACCTGGATTTCCATTTCAGCGAGGATTTGTGGGATTGTGGTTTACCAAAATACCAATTAGCAGGGTTCTGCTATTTTGTTCTGTTTAAAACAGGATACCACTTGACAGCTCTGAGGCTCAGTTTCTGTTTGATGTGATTTGAAACAGCCAAAGTATAAAACTGCAAAAAAGTAAAGTTATACTAGAAGAGCCAATTTGGCTGTAACTGTGTTAAAAATTAGAGCCCTATAAAATAAAACCATTCCCTCCTGCCAAGTTTTTAAATGTTTATATTTTGTACCGTAGACTTCTTTTTTTAAAAAAAAACCCAACAACTATGAGTATATTGAATGCGTAAATGGGGACTCTTTCTCAGGTGTTTAGTGACCGTGATGGGTCATGACCGTGATGGGTCATGACTGGGAAGAAGGAAGTTTTGTTCAGGAACGGGGAACCTGTATCCTTATAGAGGTCACAGTATTACAACTCCCAACATCCTTGTCCAGTAGCCATGATGCCTGGGACTGATGCAAGTTGTAGTCCACCAACATCTGGGTGGGGTCACAGGTTCATCATCCCTGGTTTAGAACATAAGAAGAGCCTTGCCGAGTCAGACTATAGACCCAACAAGCTAACACTTGGTTTCCAGCAGTGGCCAGCAGATTTATTCATTTAATTAAAAGGTTCCTTTTGTAAGCTTCTCTTAGAAAGTGCGGCACACGAAGGGTGGGATTCAGCATTGCGCCGTTGGGAACATTAAGTCTGTGCAAGCATCATAGGCGCCGACTCCATGGGGCTTGAGGGGGCTCGAGCCCCCTCAAAAAAATTTTTGGGGGGGCTCAGCCCCCCAATAATCTCGGGCGCCGGGGGCGGGGGCTCCTGCCTCGCTGCTTCGCAGCACCACCGCCACTGCCAAGGCACTGCCGGGGGGAATTTCCTTCCTCCTGGCGGTTTCAGCCCCCGCGAGAACAGGGGAATCCCGACTGGCCACACCTCCCAGCCAGCCAATCGGCTGGCTGGGGGCGTGGCTTGCCCTATTTAGGGCCGGACTCACTTTATTTGCATATTCATGAGCTTATTTATTATTCATGAGCTTTCCCGGGCCCCCCCAATATTTTTATAAGTCCGCGTCCCTGGCAAGCATTTCCGTTTGCCGGATGGAACACTCTGCCCTCATCTCCCCTCATGTTCTGGGGGTTCTCCCACCCCCCATGAGCCAATTTCAGGGGGACAAGGGAAAACCTTGTTGTGCAAGTGGAAGTCCTTGCTCAGGACTTCCGCTGATGGGGCTTCTTAGATGAATCCCACCTACAGTTTTTCTCCACTAGAGGGAAGTAGAAGAAATGGCCTGGGAGGCAGGCAGTGGCAGGAGTGCCCACACACCCTCAGCTTAGGCCTCCAGAGGTGGCTTCTTCACTCAGCCTAAAGGTGGGCTTTCTGGACTATCGCTTGCCCCTCTCACTATCACATTAAATTTTCCTGCCTTCCAGAATAGGCAGAACCACTCATCCACAGCTTCTGCTCATCTTGTGTTATACAGATGTGGTCTAGAGGGAATGCTAGGATGAGCTGATGCAGTTTTCTTTGAGCCTCTTATCTCCCCCTCCCCACCTTTAAGCATTAGATGCCACCTGGGATACAGCTTTGGAGCTCAGAGGAGTAAAGGATTAACTGGCAAAGTAGCAATTACCAGCTTCAGAGAGTTAAGTTATATTTTCAGTTTAACATTTCTTTCATTATTAAGAAGAGGAAAGCCTTGGGTCCACCTGTCTTGCTTTTATCTGCAATGGTGCTGATTAGGCCTGTGTGTGGTCTAACATTTACGTCTCTGTTATATGTTTATGTTTGTATTCTTTACAGGGTTTTTTTTTTGGGTGGGAGGGAGTGGGGAAAGAGATCTGCTTTTTTCTCGTTTAGAAATCATTCTAATCAAGTGGTCCATGTCTGGGGGCTAAGTCCCAGAATAGCTGTTGTACTACAGTGTGGAATAATTGTCTGCTGTTTAAATGGTGCAATTTAAATTACAGCTTTGCACACTGGATATTCTTAAGTTTTCAAAACTATACTGCTATTTTCTGGATGGGAAAATTATAGATCTTGTGTGGTTAACTACTATGGGAAGCATTTCAGTTTAGGAGCATTTCTTGCCCATTTTCACTTCCATCTAATTTGCTGATAATGTTTTTATTGGTTTTCAATAACTTTGATGCAGCTGCTTTTGTTCTACTAACACGAGTAGTTTTTCTAGATGTCATAATTAGTACAGAACCTGACCATGTTGCTATTTTGTAATAGCAACAATTCTTTGATAGAACAGTTCTTAAACACTTCAACTGTAAAGCTTCAGGCATGATTGAAGAGCTGTTTGTAAATGCCAGACATCTGTATTTCATTTTTGAAGCTACAGAGGCTCTTTAACAATTTGAAGGCCTTGGTCACACTGACACTCAGGGCACAAGTATAAATTAGTAAGAAGCATTCCATGTTCAGTCTTCGCACTTCGCTCTATATTGTGTAGAAAAACTTAATCTGTTCCTTCATGTTGTTAGGGCCACGTAAACACATATCAGGATGATCCCAGGAGAGGGGGAAACTGGACAAAAAGATATACAGTGTTGTTAGTAGCATATAGTTTTGTCTTCAAACTTCTAATTTATTTTATTTTCGCTCCATTTTTTTTTATGTGAGAAGCTGTATCAAATGAAGCATCTTTCTTCTTACCTTTCTCCTCATAGCTAACAATAGATACTTTCTCCTATCATAAAACGGAGTGTTTGTTTGCCTGGAATAGTTTACTTGTCTGTGTCTCTTGACGTGGTATGACTTTGAAACAAGAAGAGAGCTAGAGTTTCTCTGGCTGGCATGCAATACATTCACATGATGGGTTGTGTGTTATGGTTTGCCCAAGTAAGGAACATGTGATGTGATTGATTTCCTGTAGCTTCTCTTTCAGTTCTGCCCCTGCCTTTGCCCAAAGCAGACAGGGATTCTCTCTTTTCCCCCATCTGCCTTTGATCTCAAGTTTCCCCTTTAAATTTTTCCTTTCCTTTCTCCTTTGTGTTTTTCCTACCTCTTCATCCCCCCAAAAGTCTGGAGCAGAGATTCCATTTCTTCCATTTCTTCTTACCTGCTTTTTCTGCTGGTTTTATTCTCTTCTGTGAGAAGAGGAAAACCTTAACTTTTCTTTTCCTCCGCTGAAGGGAAGATATTTTGTGTGACATGCTGATCCAACTATTGCTACTTCTTCTCCAGGTCCTAAGCAAGCACCTTTCTATGTTTTTACTTGCACAACCATTTACCTTCTCCAGACTAGAAGGTAGCAAGGAAAGCCAAGCCAAGTGTCCTTTCATTAAACAATCAAGATGCGAAATAGGTGGTAGAAGCAACAGAGAGCCCCGAGCCATGTTCTTTTCCAGCATACAATTAAATACACATTTTACTTGCACGTGACTGTTACTTTGTCTGTTCACTGAGTCTATTTAATAATTGTTTAAAAGATTTCCATCTCCCCATCTTTTTTTTTTAATTATTTTTCAAGCCATTGCCCAAACATATGGTGTCAAGACTCTGCGAATCTAAGAAAGTTTGTGCTGCTGCCGACATGCAGCTTCAGGTATGTTGTTTGCTTCTATGTGATTTTAACCTTACTATGAAGTTGGGAAAGATCTTAAGATTAGCACAGTATCATTTTAAAGTTATGACTCACTGATGCAGATTCTTTGGCACATTTGTACAACTGTTGAATACTTAAAATGAATTACTTTAAAACTTTATGGGATTTTAATGTCACCGACTCTTAAGTGTAGAATGAGTTGCAGTTTGAAAGTAATACATATCCAAATAAACTTTTCTTAAAGCTAAAACTTGACAGTCAAAAGTCAATCTAAGCTTTTTAAAGTCTGCAATGCTGTTAGAAAAAGTTCAGGGAACTCTGTAGGGAAAGAGATTTCTACATTGTGCAGCAGCCAGTGAAAACCTACTTCTATGGAATGATGTGAATTTTAACTCTGGTTTCTTCTTGACTTCAATTAAAAAAGAGACAGCCAGCTTCAGAAGCACATCTTCCAAACACTAGCGTGAATTCCCCTCTGCCTTAACTTGCCTCTAGTGCTAGTGCTGAACTAGGTTTCCTTTTAATCAGGATCTGAAATTGCAGTTTAAACTGGGGTTCAGATCCTAGTTTAAGGGCAAACTTGGTTAGTGTGAACTGGTTGAAGGTCAGTGCCAATATTTATCTGAACTCTAGTTATGGCAGAGTGGGAATGAAGAGAAGATGGGAGGATAGCTGCCTCCCACTTTTCTTGGTCATGGGTAACAAAGAGCCAGCATTACATCTGCACTAGCCCCACGATGTGCCTTTGATCTCTAAATTTGGTGCACAGATAGAATGATTGTTCCTGCTTCCTTATGATAGATTATAGCGGGTTCCTGAATCTAAATGTCTTGCTTGTGACCTCTGGATTGGAGGATAAGGCCAAATAATGTGGGGCCTTATCAAAGCCAAATTGTGTTTTACTTTGTTTTTTGCTTCTTCTTTTTTCTTGGTTAATTTTTTTTTGTGTGTGTGTGTGTGTGTTTGTGTGTATATAAATAAAATAAAAGTCCCTCTAACTTCAGTGGGACGTCTGCAAATTAAGCGTGCATGGTGTTGCAGCTTTTTTGTGTGGATCCATTAAATAAAAGGCACTGGAAACTGTCAGCCTAAAATATAAATATGCAGAACAAGAGCATGCAAGCCAAGTTTTCATTCTGGCAATGGACTTGAATGGTTCATAAGTTGCCATGTGCTTTTCTAAAAACTAATCATTCTAACAGAAGCAACATAATCCGTTAGAAATGTTTACATGCTTATTTCTAAAGACTCTGATAAATGCATAAGCCAGAACAAATCTAGAACAAATAAATGCATTTCGGGGGAAATCACGAGCTAATCTAGTATGTAAATTTATTTATTTATTTATGAACCCAAATCTAATTTATTCTAAAGAGGAAATGCATTTGAACATTCTAAATGAGAACTGATTCTATTTTAGGTAATTTACGCACATAACATATTGGCTTAATCATAAAAAATATTCCTCAAGGAAGTTCATCTCTAAGAAAATACTGAATAAAGCTTTCAGTTGTGTTTATTTTAATGAAAATGCATTTGGTTTGTTTATGGCTCTCAAATTATTAAAAGAGCTCTTTTTAGGGAGATTAATCAGTGAACGAAATAATTAGAACTTGTAACTTATTGGGTAAGAAAATCACCTGGTATCTCCCTTTTCATTTATTTCCCTTAACATGAGATAGAGTGCTTGAAGAATATGAATGAATGAAGGAATGAATGAATGAATGAATGAATGAATGAATGAAACAAGTGGAGGGCAAGTACATAGAATGCTTTTCTTGAGCCCTTGCAGTATACTATCTGAACTGAGATCAGTAGGGGATCTCTGAGTTGATCATGAGGTCCCAATGATGGACCTTTTCTCAGGTTTGCCGCTTAAAAAATATACCATCCTGGAACATGCTGAGCCCTTCTGTCATGACATCAAGAGCTGTAATAGCAGTCACTTTTCTCTCCCTTGGCAGTCATAGCAATTTCTCCAACACCAAGCTTGCTTTGGAAATTGCAGGGTGACTAAGAGTTATGCATAGGTCACCCACCTCATCCCACAAAGAACAAGGACAGTCTGAAACATAATTGTGGTTAAATGTCTGTCTCCTCCAAGCCTCTACAGGATATCAAGGCTTAGATAATTACAACTTTAAATTCTTAGCTCTTTCCCCTTCAGTTCTCTCCAAACCCACAGTTTGACTGGGAATATTTGGAATTCCAAGTGTAGGGTAGAGGCTTTTCGTTCTTCTTTCACATATCCCAAGAGTCTTTTCTGAACTGTACTGTTTCACATGGGTAGTTGCATTTAAACCCTCATTGCACACAGTCTAGCTCTCTCCCTCATGGGTTATATTTTTAGGTGCAAGGATCTTTAAAAAAAACAAACAAACAGATGAGGTGGTCCAAAATAGAATAACCCTCCTGCAATCTGAAGTAATTTCATTTTTGCTCCACCAAAAAGCAGACTAAGGGAGCCTCCAGGCAAAAGTACTGACATATCTATAAAAGTTGTAGAGCTTCATAGTAATTGAGTTTTTACAGGCCTCTCACCAGATGAGAGATAAGTGGGTGGCAAGGTCATGTTATAATGTTCTGTGCCAAGTTCCACAGAGCACAGGACTGATAAATCGGTGGTTCTTTGTGCCAAGAAATATCTTGGTGCAATTCAATCAGTGTTAAGCATTTTTCAGCCATGTTGCCTTAATTGGGAAAGAGAAGCACATGAAACCTAAAAGTCGGTAACTCTGGTGAATCAATCCTCTCATTTCATTTTAGATATACTTTCTTACAAAATGTTACTTTCCATCCAAATTTCTAGTGCGAGCTCTTTTGTGGGATGAGAGATTGTGGCAGTACTGGGAGGACACCAGAACCCTGTCTTTATGTTCTAAGACTGGTTTGAAAAGGACCTGGAAAGGAATTCTCCCCACCACTATAGTTTTCCATGGGAATTTATGTGGTACAATACTGGGGTTTGGTTTTTCTTGAAGATGTTCTTCTCATGGTTTGGAATCCACATCTTGCCACTCCCACAAAGACTGCATTGGGGACAATGACTGCAACCCTGTTAAAAAAAAAAGACAGTATATATTTAATGTACAGCAACCATTCATGACTCAAATTAATTATAATTTGATTCTTTATAACTTTGCTCTAGGCTTTGATTGATAAGACCAGTTATTAAGATGTCAAAAGCAAAAAATGGAGTAACACCCCCCCCCATTTCTGCAATGTTTCTTTATAAATAGCACATCAATGATGGCCTCAATCAAAATTTGGCTAGAAACCAGCCATATGTCCCAGCCTGCCTTCAATATATTAGCTGCTGTTCAAATACCACTGCAAAAATATGCTGGGGGATCCAACATACGGCTTGATTTCTCCTCTGCTTTCCTGTCTCCCTGACTTGTTCCTATTAACCCCAGGTATTTAGCTAGAAATTAGTACTGACGCAAGAAGTGGAAGCCTTGGATTTGCTCAGGTGTCCTTTTATAACAGCTGTGCAGAAATAAAGATCCTGAGGGCTGTGTGGAGGACGCTTTTGTAATACAAGTGTCGCTAAGACACGTGCATACCTACCTGATGCGACAGTATGGTATCTTTTAAGGATCAGGCTGAAGTCCTATGGATGTATGGTGGCTTCCTTTTGAAAAAGCAGGATTTTTGTGCATACACAAGACTTGAGAATGGGAACATCATAGGAAGGTGTATTGGGCAGAATCAGATCACCATCTAGCTCAGTATTATCTATGCTGATTGGCAGTAGCTGTCCAAGTTTACAGACAGAGATCTTTCGGAGATGCCAGGGACTATAGCTAGAGTCTTCTCCATAAAAACTATTTGCTCTTTTACTGAACTAACACTCTTCCTCAGTATTGAACATGTGAACAGAATTATGTTTTTATTTTTGTGGGGGGGGTGGCGGCGCTGTGGTCTAAACCACTGAGCCTCTTGGGCTTGCTGATCGGAAGGTCGGTGGTTCAAATCCCCGCAGCGGGGTGAGCTCCCATTGCTCTGTCCCAGCTCCTGCCAACCTAGCAGTTCAAAAGCACGCCAGTGCAAGTAGATACATAGGTACCGCTGCAGCAGGAAGGTAAATGGCATTTCCGTGGGCTCTGGCACTCATCACGGTCCTCTGTGCGCCAGTAGCGGTTTAGCCATGCTGGTCACATGACCTGGAAAACTGTCTGTGGACAAACGCCAGCTCCCTCGGCCTGAAAGTGAGATGAGCACCGCAACCCCATAGTTGCCCTTGACTGGACTTAACCCTCCAGGGGTCCTCTACCTTTTACCTATATATTTAGAAGCCGCCCAGATGGCTGGGGCAACTCAGTCAGGTGGGCAAGGTACAAATAATAATAAAATTAGTATTATTCTGAACGTTATTCTATATTACTCTCATGAAGAAAAGCAAGGGAATGCTTTTATTCTGCTGCATGTCTGAATTTGTTAACCACATGCTGAATAGCAAGAGTGAGCCATAGCTCAGTATATATATTATCTATCTAGATCTTTTATGCTGTCTTGGACCAAATATACCATGGGAAACATCCTCTAGAGAAGTCAACCACAGAGATTTTGAAAGAAACTCAAGAGAAATTCTATGGATTGCCATACGTTCCTAATACTGTGAGTACCATATTTCATGCGGATTGATATTTTAAAAGAAAACTAAGGTTAATGGACTTAGTCATGTTCATTAATTTCTGAGTAAAAATTAGTTGACTACCACCCAAATGATTTTATGTTATCATTTTAAAAAGTTTTTATCTGTGGAACTGTTTTATATCTGTTATTATATTGCAAATTGCTTTGGGATGACTCATGGGAAGCAATTCGCAAGTGAAATAAATGCTACTAGTAATAATATAGCTTGAGGTGAGGAGTCTAACATTCAAAATAGGAGGGGCAAGTAAAAACGTCCTTGAATAAGACCAGTGACTTGGATGTCTGGACTCCAGCCATAGTTTAGGCTTACTGCAAAGCATAGAAAAAAATCTTGAGACTACTTAAAAATGTTTGGCTGTTACTTCTTTTTCAATTTCCTAAAGGGTATAATGTAATCATTAGGCTGCGTGCATTTTACACAAGTGAGGCTACAAACAGTTTAAATATGCATTGAAGAACTTCTGAGTGTTTTTATAATGTTGTACAGAAAGCAGAAGTGGGTAATTTTTAAGTGAAATATATGTTGTGGTCAGTGTGGCTCTTTCATTCAATTTGCAAACCCAGGAAATTCAAAAAATCAGATTTTAGAGACGCTTGTGAAAACATCCTTTAGTTTTGGAATGCTTGTAACTTGCTGCTTCAGCCAAAGTGGAAAACCCATTTGTTTATACAAATTGTATACCCTTGGATTAACTTTCAACTGGGTCATCTTAAAGTACACTGTAAAACCAGGTTTTACGAGACTGCGTGTAGGAAGAGGAAAATTAAATGAATGTGTAACAATCCCTTTGTGGATTTTTCTGTAAATAGTCTCTGGTTATTGTTTTATAAAGGTGGTTTCATAAACTCAGCATTCATTTCAAAACCATAACAAAGTTAGTACTTTGAAAACCAGCTCATGAATCTTGGATTGCTTTCTTTTCTTTCTTTTTTTAAAGAGAAGCCCTTTCATTTCTTCATTTGAACAGAAAAGCTACAGATAATGATCACAAGAAAACTGAATCCCACTTAGGTCCCATTGAAATCAATGGGGCAAGTTAGTTGTGACTATTAATTTAGTAGAGCTTAAGCCAACGATCTTCCTTTGAAGTGAGGCCAACACTTTTCAGGAAACACTTCCCCCCAGCTATTCACAGTTCTTGAAGCAGAATGTTTGGAAGTTGTCAAATTGTAAACCACTTGAAGCTTTTAAGGAAAAACTGACCTCATGAAATTCAGTCCTTTATGATTGTAGCATTAGTGCTTTTTTAGTAATAGGGTTGTGCCAGAAGTGGTTTAGTCATGCTGGCTACATGACCCTGAAAGCTGGCTGTGGCGAAACACCGGCTCCCTTGGCCTGAAAAGCGAAATAAGTGCCACATCCCATAGTGTGACTGGACTTAACTTCCCAGGAGTCCTTTACCTTTACTTTACCTTTTGGTAATAACGTTGCATTTTGCTTACACATTGAGGGGCTGCTGGCTTCCCCCTTCAGACTGCATCACCTACCCTCAAGAGTCGCTCAGGGTGGCTGGAATTCCCTGGGATCCTGTGTAGTGTGGCATAAAGTCTGCAGCCTGTGGGGAAAAAATGGGGCCCCCCTCCCCTACTTTCTGTGTGACTGAATGGCCTTCCCCCATAATGTATGGGGAGTTTGGACACAAGTCATATGCATTCTATACAATTTGGGAGCTTTCTTCTGAAGCCTGCAGACCTCATTGACCCGCATGTAGCAGTGAGCATATATAGGACCAAGGATGTGATTAGATTTTGCCAGAGCCAGGCTTGGAAATGAATTTCTAGGATACTTAAAAGCATGTCTTAAAGGAGACGTTAACTTTTAGAAATTCTGGACTACTCCCTGCAACACCCTTTGCTAACCTGGATCAATATCTGGGTCACAGAAGAGTTCCTAGTCTCTCCATGCTAGCTACCAAAGTGACCTCTCCTCTCCGTCCTTTACTTACTTGTAGCTGCAGCAACTGCAAAAGGGCTTGCAAAGGAAGGAAGGACCCTCCACATTGTCCCAATATGCCACTCTTCCCGGGCACTATGGCCATGTGATATGCCTTGGGAAGACTCCAGTTCCCAAGAGCCACTGCTCTTTTAGCCCTGACATGCAATAATCCATTAAAAAGCTATAATTAATAATTCAAGGACCATATGGTATCTTTCCAGAAACACCTAAGTGGTTAATTGAATGTGAAATTCCTTTCCTCTTCTCCAATATAAACTACTACAAAAATATTTATATCCCTTGTCTTGCTGGGTTTATTTATGAGTTGGTAATAAAAACACAGAAGTGTTATAAATTGAAACTTTAATCTCGCATTTGACTCGCTTTTCAAAATCTCAGGGTGCCTTTTTCATTTTGTTTTTTACTTTCTATTCCTGACTTTAGAATACCCCCTCTTCCTGTATTATTTTCATAGAATCATAGAATCATAGAATCCTAGAGTTGGAAGAGACCACAAGGGCCATCGAGTCCAACCCCCTGCCAAGCAGGAAACACCATCAGAGCACTCCTGACATATGGTTGTCAAGCCTCTGCTTAAAGACCTCCAAAGAAGGAGACTCCACCACACTCCTTGGCAGCAAATTCCACTGTCGAACAGCTCTTACTGTCAGGAAGTTCTTCCTAATGTTTAGGTGGAATCTTCTTTCTTGTAGTTTGGATCCATTGCTCCGTGTCCGCTTCTCTGGAGCAGCAGAAAACAACCTTTCTCCCTCCTCTATGTGACATCCTTTTATATATTTGAACATGGCTATCATATCACCCCTTAACCTCCTCTTCTCCAGGCTAAACATGCCTAGCTCCCTTAGCCGTTCCTCATAAGGCATCGTTTCCAGACCTTTGACCATTTTGGTTGCCCCCCTCTGGACACGTTCCAGTTTGTCAGTGTCCTTCTTGAACTGTGGTGCCCAGAACTGGACACAGTACTCCAGGTGAGGTCTGACCAGAGCAGAATACAGTGGCACTATTACTTCCCTTGATCTAGATGCTATACTCCTATTGATGCAGCCCAGAATTGCATTGGCTTTTTTAGCTGCCGCGTCACACTGTTGGCTCATGTCAAGTTTGTGGTCAACCAAGACTCCTAGATCCTTTTCACATGTACTGCTCTCAAGCCAGGTGTCACCCATCTTGTATTTGTGCCTCTCATTTTTTTTGCCCAAGTGCAATACTTTACATTTCTCCCTGTTAAAATTCATCTTGTTTGTTTTGGCCCAGTTCTCTAATCTGTCAGGGTCGTTTTGAAGTGTGATCCTGTCCTCTGGGGTGTTAGCCACCCCTCCCAGTTTGGTGTCATCTGCAAATTTGATCAGGATGCCCTTGAGTCCATCATCCAAGTCGTTGATAAAGATGTTGAATAAGACTGGGCCCAAGACAGAACCCTGTGGCACCCCACTAGTCACTCTTCTCCAGGATGAAGAGGAACCATTGATGAGCACCCTTTGGGTTTGGTCAGTCAGCCAGTTACAAATCCACTGAGTGGTAGCATAGTCAAGTCCGCATTTTACCAGCTTCTTTACAAGAATATCATGGGGCACCTTGTCAAATGCCTTGCTGAAATCAAGGTAGGCTACATCCACTGCGTTCCCTTCATCTACCAGGGTTGTAATTCTGTCAAAAAACGAGATCAGGTTAGTCTGACATGACTTATTTTTCAGAAATCCATGCTGACTATTGGTGATCACAGCATTCCTTTCTAGGTGCTCACAGACTGTTTGCTTAATGATCTGCTCCAGAATCTTCCCCGGTATTGATGTCAGACTGACTGGGCGGTAATTATTTGGGTCCTCTCTTTTCCCCTTTTTGAAAATAGGGACAACATTTGCCCTCCTCCAGTCTGCCGGGACTTCGCCTGTTCTCCAGGAATTCTCAAAGATGACTGCCAGTGGTTCTGAAATCACATCTGCCAGTTCTTTTAATACTCTTGGATGCAGTTCATCTGGCCCTGGAGACTTGAATACATCTAGACTAGCCAAGTATTCTTGTACTATCTCCTTAGTTATTCTGGGCTGTGTTTCCTCTGCTGAATCATTTGCTCCAAATTCTTCAGGTCGGGCATTGTTTTCTTTATCGGGGAAGACTGAGGCAAAGAAGGCATTGAGGAGTTCAGCCCTTTCTGTGTCCCCTGTTTGCATTTCACCATCTTCTCCTCTGAGTGACCCCACTGTTTCTTTGTTCTTCCTTTTGCTACGAACATACCCATAAAAGCCTTTTTTGTTGCTTTTTTTTTTTTTTGTTGCGTTTTAAAATTTTATTAAGTTCCAACAGATCATACAGTAAATTCCGAAATCAAAAATAAGATACAACATTTTGGACTTCCTACAGCGTCTTTGGCAATCATTCGAAATAATATCTTTAAATCGCATTCCATCCAATCCTATTGCCATTTGTTCTCCCCTTCCTCTAAATTTCCAATAGGCAATATTTACCAATTGTTTACAGCGCCTCTTTGAACCCCACTAGCGTTATATTTACATCACAGTTGTTTTCCAGATATCCCACAAATTTCTCCCAATCCTCAATAAATTTTTGATCTTTGGTATATCTTATTTTCCCGGTTAGTCTATCTAATTCCGCGTATTCTATCAACTTTGTTCTCCACTCTTCTATCCTTGGACTCTCTTCCTGTTTCCACTTCTGAGCTATTACTATTCTAGCAGCAGTTGCCGCGTACTGAAACAGCTTGCAGTCCTTTTTCCTAATGTCTTTTCCTAAAATACCTAGTAAGAAGGCTTCTGGTTTTTTCAAAAAGGTGTATCTTAGTATCTTTTTCATTTCATTATAGACCTCTTCCCAGAAGCCTTTTACTTTCTCACAGACCCACCACTGATGGTACAGTGTCCCTTCTTTCTGTTTACATTTCCAGCATTTGTTGTCTACCTTATACATCTTAGCCAGTTTTACGGGTGTTATGTACCATCTGTATAGTATCTTCATCATGTTTTCCTTCAGTAACGTACACGCCGTAAATTTTATGTTTACTCTCCACACCTTTTCCCAATCATCCTGC